CTCTTCTTTTTTTTATTTTCATTCACCTATATTTTCTCCTTTCACCACTTTCACATTAAAATGACAGCACTTCTTATTTTTTATTTCTTAATTTCTTCTTCTTCTTTTTCTTTTTCTTCTTCTTCTTTTTCTTCTTCTTCTTCTTCTTTTTCTTCTTCTATGATTTTTCTTCCTTTTTTCCATTTTCATTTACCTACTTTTTATTCCTATTTTCCTCCCCTTTCCCAGTAAAAGAAACAACAAATTTTCAATCAATTTTTTCTTTTTTCTTTCTTTTCTTTTCCACCCTTTTTTTCATTTTCATTTACCTATTCTTCATTCTCCTTTTGTCACTTTCCCATTAAAATAACAACACTTCCGACTTTGCTATTTCTTCTTCTTCTTCTTCTTCTTCTTCTTCTTCTTCTTCTTCTTCTTCTTTTTCGATCTCATATCTCTAACAATTTCTCATCTTTTTTCCATTTTCATTCGCCTATTCTTTTTCCATCTTTCTGCCACTTCCGGACGTAATACACAACACTTCTTCGTGTCCTTCTACTTTTCTTCTTCTTCTTCTTTCGTCACTTGCTTTCTATCTTCTTACTGTAGTTAACATCTTTTTTCCTTTTTCATTCACCTATTCTTCTTTCGACTTTCTTCCACTTAAACATTATAAAAGGCAACACTGTATCTTTTTTCTTCATCATCCTTTTCTTTCCTTCTTTTTCTTCTTCGTTTTCTTTTCTATTTTACTCTATTTCGATACTTTTTCATTTTCTTTCACGTACTCTTCTTTTTCTTTCTTCTTTCCATCGCTTTTCCATTGAAAAACACTTCTTCTTCTTCTTCTTCTTCTTCTTCTTCTTCTTCTTCTTCTTCTTTGCTTCTTTTTCTATCACTAACTATTTCGCTTCTTCTTCGTCGTCGTCGTCGTCGCTTGCTTTCTATCTTCTTACTGTAGTTCACATTTTTTTCCTTTTTCATTCACCCATTCTTCTTCCTTCTTTCCTCCATTTTCCCATTATAAAAAGCGACACTTTACCTTTTTTTTTCATTCTTCATCATCTTGTTCTTTCCTCCTTACTCTATTTCTCTGCTTTTTTTCATTTTCTTTCCACTACTCTTTATTCTTCTTTCACCTACTGTTATTCTTCTTCCTCCTTTCCTCAAATTTCCTTTTATAACCAATTCTTCTTCTTTTTCTTCTTCTTCGTCATCTTTCCTGCTTTTTCTATCTTCTTTTCTACCATTTCTATTACTTTTCAATTTTCATTCACCTATTCTTCTGCCTCCTTTCCTCCATTTTCCCATTAAAAAAAACACTTCTTCTTTGTCTTCTTCTTCTCTTTTGTCTTTTCTTCTTTTTCTAACTTCTTTTCTCTACGTATATCTCTTCCTTTTTCCATTTTCATTCACCTATTCTTCTTCCTGCTTTCTTCCACATTTCCATTAAAAACACTTCTCTTTCTCCTTTATCTTTCCTTCTTTTTCTATCTTCTTTTTCTATCTATTCCTCTTCTTTTTCCGTTTTCATTCACCCATTCTTTTTCCACTTTTGCTCCACTTTCCTATTAGATACACTTCTTCTTCTTTTTCTTCATTCTTCTTCTTCTTTCATTCATATGTTCTTCTTCCTCCTTTCCTCCACTTTCCATCTAACAATAAGTCTTCTTTTTTTCTTCTTTATCTTTCCTTCTTTTTCTAACTTCTTTTCTCTACCTATTTCTCTTCCTTTTTCCATTTTCATTCCCCTGTTCCTGTTCCTCCTTTTCTCCACTTTCCCATTAAAAAAATACCTTCTTCTTCCACATCTTCTTCTCCTTCTTTATCTGTCTTTCTTTTTCTATGTTCTTTTTGTTACTATTTCTCTTCTTTCTTCCCATTTTCATTCACCTAGTCTTCTTCTTCTTTTCCCATTAAAAACTTCTTCTTCTTCTTCTTCTTCTTAATCTTTCCTTCCTTTTCTATCTTACTTTTCTACCTATTTCTCTTCCTTTTTCCATTTTTATTAATATATTCTTCTTCCTCCTTTCCCACTTCTTCTTCTTCTTTATCTTCTTTTTCTTCATCTTCTTCTTTTTCTTTATCTTTCCTTCTTTTTCTATCTTCTTTATCTACCTATTTCTCTTCATTTTTCCATTTTCATTCACCTATTCTTCTTCCTCCTTTCCTCCACTTTCCCATTAAAAAAAAACACTTTTTCTTCTTCGTCTTCTTCTTCGTCGTCTTCTACTTCTTCTTCTTCTTCTTCTTTCCTTTTTTTCATTTTCTTTTTCTAACTTCTCTTCCTGTTTGCGTTTTCATTCATCCATTGTTTTTCCTCCTTTCCTCCTCTTTCCCATTAAATACACTCCTTCTTCTTCTTCTTCTTCTTCTTATTCCTCTTCTCCTTCTTCTTCTTTTTCTTTATCTTTCCTTCTTTTTCTATCTTCTCTTTCTACCTATTCCCTTCCTTTTTCCATTTTTATTCACCTGTTTTTCTTCCGCATTTCGTCCACTTTCCCATTAAAAAAAGACTTCT